GCATTAGATCCCGAGAATGAATTAACAGAGCAGAAACCATCACCAGGTACGTTTAGTAACCGATTAGCATTATTGAAATTTATTAAGTGCGGTGTTCTTGTTTTACAGGCATCCCTTAATAATCTTGCAATTTGATTATTACGTTAAAAATGTAGATTCTGAATCAAAAATAATAAAAACTGGATCATTCCAGAAGGAGAATAATACTGAAACAGACGATGAAGAAAAAACTTCGCCTAAAGTACATGAAATAGATGATCAAGAAAATAGCTTGGATGAAATTTTAAATGAACAACAGCTGAAAGAAGAAGCATGCAAAAGTGTACAATTTAATCAAGCACAACTTGAGGAAAACATGACAGATTCTTCCCTCACAAAGGTAGCAGATTATCAAATTAATAATGCCGAAGAAGCACATGAAGATCAACAGATTAAATCCACACTAACCAACAATAATTCTCATTCCGATATATCACATGATGGTGGCTCTAAGAAAATTACAAATGAACAAGATTCACAAAATATGCAAGAAACCTTACCTTCTGCCAAAGAGAGCGTTGCAGATGAATCAGATTCAGAAAGTATGCAAACACCTCAAGAAGGTACAGAAATAAATCAATTATCAGACGAAAAAGTTAAAGAGACAGCGGCTGTAAATTCACTCTCAGAAGCAGACGCTGAGCAAGATATCATGGTAGAAGGTAAAGATTCCAAAATGGAAAATAGAATTAAATGCAGCGATAATGATTCCATAAATAATATAGAATCTGAAAAATTCATCAACCCAGAGCAGTCCGAAGAAAGTATTAAAGATGTTAATAAAAAGAAAGCAGATTTTAGGAATGATCATGTAAGAGCTGAGGACGTAGGAATTGACCCTCTAAATGTCAGTCAAGATTTTTGGGATACAAAAACCATTGCTGTAAGTATTTCGGAGATGTTAGAAAGTAAGGAATACATGGAACCATCTTCTAATGAAGCAGAGAATGATAGCAAACATATTTCCTCAAACAAAGATATTGAAAATTTATCGGAACCTACACTGAATGATGCTAATCTTGAAAATTTTAATGAACGGGATGCAAGTGACCATATTGGCTTAAGTAGTAATAAGCCAAGCGATGAGGAGGATATATGTAATCACGAAGATGATAACGATAGCAATCGTTCAGCTGAAAATACATCAGGGATTAAATCTGAAGTGAATCATATTAGACATGAAGAAGGCAAAAACGAATATGATGCCGAAAGTAGCTCCGATATTCAAAAACATACATCTGATAGATCAGACTCAACATCATCTATGAATGATAATCAAACCAAAATTCGAAGGAAAACTAGTAAATCCAGCTCAGTCTCATCCATGAGTAGCAGAAAAGCCGATATTCTACGCAAAGTTAATGGTAAAAAGAGAGCGAAATCAGCGGGTGATGAAAAAACTATTGCTTCATCTCCGTCGACTAATGCTGATGAAAACAATCAGAATTTAGGAAGCAATAATAAGACGAGTGATAGTAAAAATTCTAGTACTAGCAATGGCAAAATGATAACTAGTATCTCAGCACCAGCGGTATCGCAAGTACCATATGCTGTAAAAATGGCCGGCGACCAACTAGGTGAAAAAGAAGACGGTCTTTTAGATGTCACATATGCAAAGCCTGCACCAGCGTCGATTATTCCGATTGCTTGTGCTAATGCTACGACGGTAGCTGCCTCAGTGATCCTATCAGCCTGTGGTGGTATTATTAACATCGGCGAATCGTTATATATCCCATCCCAAGAGCAATCTTCAAACGATCATATCCCAAGAAAAAAATTGCAGATATTTCCTGGTGCTACAGAAGACGAAATGTTATTTTGTAAAGTAGATGATCAGCCGGTACGAAGAAGAGCGGAAAATTACGATTATGACTCTGATTCGACTGCTTCCATGGAGTCATGTTCTGTTACAGATTCCAATTCTGATGTTGATGTAAACGCGTTGGCTATGAGCAATAGTGAAGATAACGATAGTGCTATAGAAGACGAGGAGATACAAGCAATTCCGAAGGAAAAAACGGCAAAGTATAACGGACAAGATACTATTGACAGTGTTAGAAATGAAACCCATCGTGATGGTGACTCTCAAATAGTAAATGAAAATGAGCCGATGACTCCTGGAACTTTAATGAAACGTTTTGATCTAGAACTCAGTAAAGCTACATCAGTCTTGGGTGTATCTGAGCCATCACTCGAAGACACGATTATAACATTTGAACAGTATTTTGGCGCTGTTTTGGATGGTATTTGTGAGGTTTTAATTTGTAATGCACCTATGGGAAAATTACAAGGTTTAATGTCGTCTCTTAAGAAATATACTAAGTCTATTGCCCAGTTACGACTGATGAAAGGTGTTAAAGGTATTTATCATTCCTAACTAATTGGTCAATTAATACACCTACGAATTTAATTTGCATTAAATTAGAATTCATTTGTTAAATTCTTATCCTAGTAAGTGTTGTAATGAAGTCAGCTGTTTGATTTTAGGCAAAGATATAATTTAGTATATAGCTAACATATAAGCAATTTATTTTATAGAGTAGCAGTTTAATTGCAATCAGCCAGTTGCTATTAAAAATGTGCAATAGTTTATAACCAATAGCTCATGTTCATGTTCTTCCGAGCATCTATAGCGTAAAGACTTGACATTTAGTAACAGTTCTCCATGTGCCTTTATCATACATGTGTCAGAGGTACACATTCTATACTTTTAAATTTCGTTAGAATGTATTACAATAATTTTTACTTTTTATGAATAAAGTAAATGACAGTATTGTGACATCACATAAGTTGCAAGATAAATTATTAAAGTTAAGATTGAAAATATTTTAGCATAATCTAGTTCTACTACAAAGAATTTGACATAATATTCTATTTGCCAGATCGTATCGCTGCAGCTGTCAGTACAGATGACTTATTGCCCTTCCTAACCTTGATATTGACTCGTGCTAAGCCCGAAGAAGCCGCAAGGCTATACGCTCAACTCAATTTTATTTCAGATCTAATGGGTGATTTTTTGTTGAATGGTGTCCACGGCAACGTTTTGATACAATTTCAAATTACAATGGAGATATTAGCATCTCTGTCTCCACGCTGATGCAGAATATAATGGTCGTTTAGAATATAACTTGAAAATTACTACTTAAAGCACGAAAAGATTTACCTTCAAATATTAGTATTTTATTAATTTATTCTTAATTCTTAAGTTCTTGAGCGATTAATACTGTAACAATTGAATTTTTTTACCTAGTTTTAAGGATTATAGTATATTACAAGGTAAACTTGTACTATATTAGGGAATTATTATATCTGCTTAAAATAATCACCGCCTTATGAAGTAACTATGGTATCGGCAATCTTGATTTACGATAGTAATCTTTGAAAACTTAGAATCTTTGTTGTAACATACGTGCACGCAGCTCTTTTAATATGGACACGTATTAAAATTTCTAGCTCGTACTAACACATAAAATGAATTGACTACCTTACCTAATGTCTGCGAAATCATTATCATATCATTTCCACACTCATCGAGATTGTGTTTTTGATCGCATATATTCGGCTAAACAATGAAATGTAGCTCATCGTAACCTTGAATACTAGTAATTTTTAAAAATTAACACCATGATTATTGCCGAGCATTTTACAAACGGAAAATTGCTATTCGCGCTTGTTATCAATTACGTGTTAAGTAGTAAATATTATTCGCACTATCATTTTTTGCTATGGGCTAATTACTTTACTTGCTATATCAACTGTAACGTGGAAGTTTCTTAATCCTATTGGACAACATTTTATCTTTCAATTATATAAAATATAGTTGTATGGTTAAACTTGTAGGACTTATAGCAGTAGTGTAATCAATGGCATAGTGGTGTAAATTTATACAGAGCATCAAAAAGGCACCATATAGAGGCTTTATCTCAACACGGATATTGGTAATATTTTTCTGTAGTTCAAAATTTTATGTAATTCCATTGTATTACGGTAGATTTGCCATATTCGAATTAAATGCTTGATAGATGCAGCTGCCCAAGTGTACAATACCTAGCTAGCACCCTACATCATATGATTTAATTGATTGAATTGCATTTTAAGAACGTCAGGACAATTTTATCACGCTTTTATTCGATTTCTTATGTTCATAGCATTTTCAGCAGCAGTGTTGCTGTTTTGGATTATTCAATTGTTAAAATAAATGAGTTATTTTAACAACGAGATTGCTCAAGTCTCTTGTTTTTTGCTTGATTACATAAACATATTAATGACATATTTTGTAGTTTCACAAGTAATTGTAATTATAATCTATTGGCAACCTTGCTGAAAACATTCATACTGCATGTTCACGTGAACTAGAGCATTGACAATTGTACATTCGTGCTCGTTAGTCATCAGTTCATCATCTTATCTTAAAATTGAAACACTTTATGATGACTTACACCATTGCACTAAAAATGTAATATTACATAAGATTGAAGGTAGAAGATCTAAATTATAAGTTATTAATTAATGATGGCGTGTAAGTAATCTCGTACCATTAAAAACTAAAAATGTAACACTTCTCGTACGCTTAATAGGAACGCGCTAAATGAAATATAACTATCTAAATTATTCGATAGGACAGTTCCTTCGATTCGCATACGTATGCATGCTCATGAAAGTAGTTACACAAAATGGACTGCCATATAATGAACATTAAGATTGATAAGGTATAGAGGACAACTTCGCATATACAGTACATATCGATATATACAGAATGATTAGTTACATCAAACGAACAGTTATTTTCGGCATTTAAAAGCTAAGAACTGTTATGATGATTAACTAATCTGTCATACTGGCAAACGCAATATATGCAATACGCATAACGATTCAATTATAACTATCTGTATTATCGAAATGTTTTAATCACTATATCGTTAAAGAGGCCACTCTTACTGCATCATGTATTATTTATATACTTATAATTCGTTCTTGTCTGGTTGGTGCTCCTCATCACTAACGTAATTAGATTCACCATTAATCAAGCCGACAGTATCACTCAACTCTTTCTCTACTTCTTCATGGCGAACATATTTGTAAAAGTGAGACATGATAACAAATATGACAAATATACATGCACTTAATCCAGCAAAGAAGAAAAATTCAGCAGCCTGAAATGTATCAATGAAACGATCGATCATTATTGCGACATATGATATATAATATTAACTCGAATCATTAATTCAAATACAAATTTTACAAGGCACGCAATAAGATAACATCATACAATCATATATATATATAAATTTATATAATACGCGGCTATAGATGGATTACCTGATCGGGAATAAATCTAGCTTCGGCAACAATAACAACGATAAGGTTACCGAAAGCCACTGTTAATAACCAGCCAGCTTGAAGACATGATTTCATCGAAGCTGGAGCCTATCAAATCAATAAGTTGCTTAGATTTACAATTAAATCAAAGGTATCTTTCCTATAACAATTTTAGAAACAGTAGCAATTATTTTTGTATAGCAGCTGCTTAAATTTTATCAAATGAATAATACAGTTGACATAATTACCTGAGAATAAGCAAATTCTAAACCAGTTATAGAAAACATGACTTCTCCAGCAGTCATTACGATATATTGAGGTGCTTGCCATAGAATTGGTATGGAATTAGGCTGGATATCAACATGATTAGTTACAACCACCTATAGTAAAATAGTAATAAGGTAAACAATAAAATAAATAGAACACTACGCATTATTGAAGGTAGTATCCAAGTATGGTAGCTTTTATTAATTGATTTGGTATTAACATACTTTATTCGGATCACTAACAGAAGGTTGAACATACACCGTATAAGCACCATTGTTTCCGAATTCAACCGTAGGATTCTAAAATTAGATTAATCTTTAATACTTGCACTTCAATCGATTGTTTGTTTTCATAGGAGGAATAGATTATACTGAGCGTCTCATTAGATGTAAACATACCTTTGTGGGATTTGGGTTGCTTCCATCTTCATCTATAATTGAATACGAATACCTGAAATGATAATTAATGTATCATGAAATTAATCAAAATAATGAAAGGAATATAAAAGTATTTAAAATTGGTTCATTTATTATTTATGCTTTTAAATCCTTTCCTGAACAATTGATATGACACCGTAATCACTTTATAAGCTCAAATGCTAATTTTATATCAATAGATATAATTTATCTTGTAGTACTTACGTATCATAATACACAACGGTATAATTGTAAACTTGCATAGGCTCTATGAAACTAATCTTATGTTGTTTCTTATTAGTTGCAGCAGTTAAGGTGAAATTTATTGATTTCTTCCAGGTATTAAAAATTCTGTCATTGTCAAATCAAACTAGGTCATTACATCCGATTATACGCGTACCTACCTACTATCTAATGCATGAGTAAAAATGTAAAGATTGTACCTGATTATTGCACGATCCGATTTAGGACGAGTTACATTCGCTTTTACCTAAAGATAGTTGAAATTAGTGCATTTAATCTATTATCTACTTGTCTTATTACAGTTAAAAATACAGTATATAATTAATGGACTATTCATTCATCGATTACAAGGATTACCTTTTGAGAGAAAATTTGTTGATTCTGATAGCTTAATACATAGCTAGAAGAGGATTTACTCAAATGCAATTGAAATTTCTTTTGTTTGAACAATGAACACGAATTATTTGCTGTCACTGTTAAGGTCATCGGTCCGGATGGTGCAGTGATGTAAGAATTGCTCTATTTAACAAACGATCGATAGGAAATATAATTGTTGGTTTAAAAAAATAAAATAAGTATGTGATCTATCTATTACCTGGGTATAATTGAGATTTAATGCTACACCAGCTTGCTTCTGAACAAAATTTAGATTACAAGGAATATTATTAACCAGACTAAATCGTGTAAGATTCCCTTCAGGATGAGTACGATCAACATCTAGGGCCTGCATGTGCATAGGAAGAAAGTTATCCACTACAATATTTATTTATTGAAAAGGGTCTTTACTGAAAATTGTTAAAATGTATAACTAACCTCTATCTGAAGTTGTAATAATCCAGCAATAACGAAAGCAAATGATGCAAATATTATACCAGTGCACATTCGCTGTAAAGGCCTACAATAGAATCAATAGCGAAAAAATATATGATTAATGTACTGGTATAAACTTCTCAAGCCATATACGCGTTAACTTTATTAACCTCATCGGTATCTTAAGTTTTCTTAACAAAGGGTAGATTAAGGACTCAAATACAGGAATTAGAATTATAATTAAAACGGGGTTTGCGGCCTACGTAATATGAATTTTAATATACTTTTTAGTATGTTTATTAAACAGACTTTAGATTCATAATCAGAGCGGTTAGTGGTACAATATTTATTCGCTAAACCTGCATTTGATCTGGTTGCATTTTGCCTAAAGGGCCCTATATCAAGATTTATGTTCAATAAAAAGAAAATAAATAATCAATTGGATATTACTCTACTATGCATCTGGATTATCTTACCAAGTTTCCGCTCATTTCTTCAGCTTGTAGTGTCCAGCGGGATCCCTATTGCAAATTAAATATTTGTGGAAGGTTATACATTATTGTAACATTGATTGCACAGCATCATGAATTGTTATACCTGTTGATCAAATAATGTCCAAAATATTGGCAATGGGATAAACATTACCAGTACTCTTAGCATAGCTTTGATGTCTTCGAGTAGCTTAGGCTGTTGTTATTGTAATCAATATAGTCGAAAATTAGTATCGTTCACATGCAAGAGTAAAAAATATCATAAAGGTACTTGATTAAACTAACACTAAATCTGTCTGAGGCTTTGTCTAGCCAATGATTTGCAGGAATATCACTTTTTCGATTTCCAATAGCATGCTAAAATGAATGTTACAAGCCTTAATTTAAGTATTGTCGACCTCACATTGATAAAAATATAATTTATCTTTCAGCATGATTAGTTTGCCTTACACAAATAGCTTTGCAAACGTCAGCAAGTATGTTGCCAGTGGGAGGATTTCTTTTATAAAGAGGTCGACCCATCCAAAAGACAACTGCATAATTAGTGGAGAAATCATTTAGCGGTAACATTTATTTTATACATGTGTATATATAAGCATGTCTGCACTAACAAAAAGAACTGCATTACTGTACAGTAAATACATGCGTGTCTTTTTCATAAATATGATCCGTTAGTAAGGGTTTGATAATTGTTTCAAATTTACGATACCACAATTCACTATGGAATTTTTCTGTAATTATTTTGCGGTACGCAATTGAGAGCAGAGATGCTATCATACAGCAACGATAACTTTACAAAGAGATACTTACATATCGCGACTAGCATTAATATTGCAGGTATGCCAAAAGCTAATGCATAGCAATCACCATGGAAACAGTGAACATTGCCTAAGTGACATAATAGTTGTTAAAAAATGTTGATGCCAAGAATAGAAATTGAACTTTTATGTAGACCTCTTAAGATTGGAGTAAAGATTGTTGACAGTACACTTCCGGCATTAATAGAAAAGTAGAAGATGGAGAAAAACCTTTCCAATAATTTGTGCTAGATACATATTTTAAAAAAAGAGATAAAATAAAGCAGATATCTAAAACAATATATGCATAACAGAGAAATTCAGATGTATAGAATGCGTAGAATTTGATCACTAAGGAATTAACAAAATTACTAGTAGTTGGATAGCATTTTCGTAGACTCTTATTACTGCATAATAACAACTGACCTGATTAGGATTAATTTGATCCCCACCGAAGGCAGAAACGCAGGGTTTTATACCGCCTGTACCAAAGCCAATTAACATTAAACCGATAATAGGGCCAGCTCTACATCAATACAGATTATCTAGTGAGAATTGCTCGATAGTCACACTGCGTATATGAGGGAATAGAATATTGCACAGTTTAAAATTTATTGTGGATGATTATTATGCTAGTCTTACAATGATTTATGACTTAGAGGGGGAATTGCAGTCAACGTTACCACAGTATTTCCAATGGCGTATATCAAGGAAACGTATAAAATAGTCCTAAAATATGAGGAGTTGCAATAGAATAAAACAATCTATTTCAAGATAATAGCTTCCATATCACTACTGCGGCAAATTGAAATTTATAACTTTACTATTGCCTGAAGTTGACGGTAAGATATTGATCAACAAATCCTTTTGATATGAGGAGAAACTTTACAGGCTAGCAGGCACTACCTAACTCCACTATTCCATTTGTACTTGCTGTCATAGCACGTTACCTGTATTTGCCAAGCCAGCCATCAGCTAACATTGCTCCAAGTAAAGGAGTAAAGTAGCACAACATTACAAAAGCATGATATAACGCGGTTGCGGTGTTTTTATCGAGTCCGTAAAAATTGGTAAAATAAAGGACCAAAATGGCTAAATATTGAAAGCAAATATTCGATTAATTTAGTTCTTGGTAGAATACCTTCCATTGACTGTGACATATATATAATATTGCAGTAGTTGTATTTTATTTTAAATTTAAGAATGAAGATCAATTTCAGTCTATTTTCGAGGTAGTAATCAGAAAATGTCTATTTTTAAGGTTGATACTAGCATTTATACGATGCAGTATGTCATTATTCAATTATTTGGAAAATTGATGCCTACATTTATTATTGCACTAACCTCTCATGCCATAGTAAGAAAATCGTTCGCAGAATTCATTACCAACAATAAAGTAAATGCTTTTGGGAAGATCACTAATACAAGATGTAAAGTTCTAAATAAAACAGAGTAAAAAAATGTCATGATGATTAATGCTCCAATCTAAAAGGGTAGCTGTACTTTGTCTTTGTCGGTCGTCATTACAACTTCATGCCTGAAGTCTGGATATCTAGCTCGATGTTAGATTGTTGGTTTTGAGTTTATACCGTACCTTAACTCTTCCCCAAGCTTTGCCGCTAATTTTCCTGTCTTCAACATCGGTACTTTGACCATCTGTTAAGACGGTCGATTTGTCTTCCTCTTCACTCATATTGTAACCTTCGATTCTAAGCCAATTGAAAAATAGAACATCGAGTCATTAATACATAGTATACTATCGATATCAAAAGACGATGATCAAAAGAGTAGTTGATAGCGAGTAATGGAGTCTTTCTAGAATACGATATTATTCAAAGTGCTGCATGATATATTAGAAATGCAATGGATTTCATATCTTGATGGTCTTGAACGCGTATTTCTTATTTATTGTGATTGTTGATTGGCTACTAGAAACGTAGACGGTCAAGGGAAATAATTTTAGAAAGTGGATCACTTTAAGGCGTATTTCTCATTTATTGTGATTGTTGGTGGGCTACAAGAAACATCGGCAGTAAAGGGAACTAATTTTATAACTTGATCGTTCTAAAGGCGTTCTTCTTACTGATTGTGATTGTTGATTGGCTACTAGAAACGTAGACGGTCAAGGGAAATGATCTTAGAAGTTGATCACTTTAAAGTGTAGTTCTTATTCATTGTGATTGTTGGTGGGCTACAAGAAACGTCGGCAGTAAGGGGAACTAATTTTATAACTTGATCGTTTTGAAGGGATTCTTCTTACTTATTGTGATTGTTAGTTAGTGACTGGAAATGTAGACAGTAAAAGGAAGTAATTTTACAACTTGATCGTTCTGAAGGCGTATGTCTTACTGATTGTCATTGTTGGTTCGCCACAAGAAACGCAGGTAGTAAAGCGAAATGATTTTACGACTTGATCGTTTTGAAGGCGTTCTTCTTACTGATCGTGATTGTTAGTTAGCGACTGGAAATGTAGACAGTAAAAGGAAGTAATTTTACAACTTGATCGTTCTGAAGGCGTATGTCTTACTGATTGTCATTGTTGGTTCGCTACAAGAAACGCAGGTAGTTAAGCGAAATGATTTTACAACTAGATCGTTTTGAAGGCTTCTTTCTCACTCATTGTGCTTGTTGGTTAGCTACAACAAACGCAGAGGAAGATCAACAATCTTTGATGATTTACACTAGAGACCCTTAAAGTCTCTTAAAGAGTCTCTAAAATTGACAGCAGTACTTTATCAATATGATTGCCCTCTATTAAATTTCATTTTCTGAATCTATATCCAACTGCAATTCGAACGTTACTCGATTGCAGTGTAATTCTGTCCATTCATGATCGTATTATGATTGAGTCAATGTTGGATAGGGCCGCGATAATAGTACAACAGTTAAGATTGGCTTGAAAATTGGAAGGGTTGTGATCGTACTTTAAAGCATGGTTGAAGTAGACTATCATAAAAATGAGAAATGGATGATCGATCTCATCAAAGGAACAACCTCATTCATGCAGGGAATAAGGCCAAGCGTAGGAATAAAAACAAGCCGATGCATAGACGGGAAAGAATTTGCTTTTTTTTGAGTCAAATGGATGAAAAAAAACTGAAATTTGTATTTGTTTGCATGCGTTGGAAATTGAAAATCAAGGTAGGATTGTGGTTGTTGACTATCCTCTACAATTTGTTTAGTGTGGAGAGAATTCAATGGTCAACTACTGTCGAGTTTATTGATGGACTACCAGAGTGTTGTTTGTTCGCTATGATCGTCCTTTATCGTTATGAGCAATGTTTGAATCCATTACGGTTGAATGGATGATCATTACTTTTGATATTGGTCCATCAATCCAATAAGCGATGGAACGAAGTGGAATACGACTTGTTTGGCTAGCTTGAAATGGCAGGTGGATCAATCAGCGTAATTTGGGGGTCCAAATTAGCATTGGCTTAATGAAGAGAGACTGTTCAATTTACTGGCCAAGACCGACCCTAACACACTCAAGCGCTGTTGTTCAATGACGGCAAGGAGGAAAGACCATGTAACCAGTTATCCTAATGAGAAAAAATGGGCTATTTCTCCCCTATAGATCATTCACCAATGCAATCAAGTAGTCGATCGGTTGTTGCTAGGCCTCTATTCACTGGAGTTGATAGGGAATAGAAAAGGTCAAAAGGAAGACGATCCTCCGGCAGCAATGGACGACGCTCAACGTCAACACCAATCAATGGTTCAATCAAGTGGAAAATAGCCTTACACGATCAACCCTAATTGTCTTGGCTGTATTATACAGTCTTGGTCATAGCCATCAGGCTGTAAACGAAGACGATGAAGGAATGGATGGAAGAGGATCGGTTATTTCTTGGCCTCTTTTTGGTAGGGAATGAAAAAGGTCAAAAGGAAGACGATGTTCAACATCAACACCAATCAATGGTTGGATCAAGTGGAAAATAGCCTTACACGATCAACTCAAGTTGTCTTGGCTGTATTATACAGTCTTGCTCATGGCCATAAGGCTTTAAACCAACAAGATGAAGGAATGGATGTGGAATTGGTGTAGAATGGATGCAATTTGGTGTGGAATGGAAGCAATTTGGGGGCAAAATAGTTTCCTCTGTAGGCTGCTCCTTCTTCCCTTTTAGCTGGCGGTCTAGTGGTCCTTTCAAGTGTGCACAATAGTAGATGGATACCGCAATAGCGCCAGCGGTATCATGCGCAGTACAGATGGACGACCGTCCACTTGTAGTAGTCTGATGGCAATTCCACTTTCTCTCTCTCTCTCTTCCTCTGCAAATCAATTCCATTTCCATCATTTGAAATGGAGAGAGAGACTTTCCCTCTATTCCAGATGGATATTCACTCAAATAGAGAGAGAAGCTTTCCCTCTATTCCCATTGGATATTCACTGAAAACGCTATTCAATCCGTAAAATCATACTTTGATTTGTTGCCCTGTTACAAGTCTGTATGCTGCAAACGTAATGACAAGTTGGCAGCAGAAAACTACCCTTGAAACGACAAGGTGATCATGGCAGAAAGCATCTTTCTCTACAACAAATGGAGAGAGATGCTTTCTGTCTATTCCAGTTGGATTTTCATTGAAAACGCTATTCAATCAGTAAAATCATACTTTGATTTGTTGTACTGCTGCAGATGTAGTGACAAGTTGGCAGCAGAAAACTAACCTTGAAACGACAAGGTGATCATGGCAGAAAGCATCTTTCTCTACAAGAAATGGAGAGAGATGCTTTCTGTCTATTCCAGTTGGATTTTCATTGAAAACGCTATTCAATCCGTAAAATTATACTTTGATTTGTTGTCCTACTGCAGATGTAATGACAAATTGGCAGCAGGAAACTACCCATGTAACCACAAGGTTATCATGGCAGAAACCATCTTCCTCCACAAATCTTATTCTATATGAAGAAATAGAGATGCTTTCTCTCTATTTCAGTTGCATGTTCACTGAAAACCCAACCCAATCTACAACAGGATATTGGGATAAGCTGCACTCTTACAAGTTGTCAACAGAAAACGATCTGTCAAACTACTAGGTTACAACAGCACAGTCTGCTAGAGAGCATCAGTCTCCCTCTCTCTCCATGACAGTACTTGCAAATCAATTCTTATTGAATATGAAGATATTAAAAGATACGCTCTGACTATTCTAGTTCCATCTCATTAGAAAAGAATCATATTGAAATCCTGCAGGGTCTGCAATCCTATTTGGTTACAACACAAACGGCATTAACCTTGATACCATCCATAAAGTCAAGCCCTACAATGCCAGCAACCACCACGACTACGGACAACTAATGCTATCCTACATTGACATGGACAAACTGGCCATCAATAAAAAAAAAAGACATTCAAGAAATCAATAGACTATCGAGGTGAAATAGAGTAATCGAAAAAGGACATGGGCAGCGAATGAAGTTTTGCGATCCAATTATCATCGCCGCTTTTATAATGATGAGGACTTGATCATGATTACTTTTAAATCGGCAAGTACTCCATGACCTTTATCCATTAAAACTACTGTACCCTTTCGTAATAAGAAGTCATCGAAAGAAGGATAGCCAGAGTTTGGATCTGGCATGCTAAAAAAGTTTGTGAATACGACTGTATTAGAAAGACGGATCATGATAACAGTAACAGCTTGTAAAGCATTCTTGCAGGATAATGATGCGCTTATGATCATCATTATAAACGTACAAGTAACGGCGGTGATTGTATCATGAACCAAGTAAAAAGTCTCAAGCTTTGATGGATGCCAACTTGATCGATGTGATTTTATCTCTCCAAACCCTCGAATTCAAAGCCGGTGTTATTCTAGCAACACTATTAAGTAGCATGGACAAAAAGTCTTCACAGCAAGACCTTGGTCTACTACATACGGACAACTATTCAGAAAAGAGCGGATAGAAAGAAATTGTGAAAAACTAAATCCGACGTTTGATATTGTATCACTCTATCTCAATCAAGCCATGCCATAACAAATCATCCAAAAAGCACTTTCAAGCAATAGCTCTTTTGACAAGACCGAAATAAAGTGCAGATAGAGCAGATAGAAAGAAATCGTGAAAAATTAAATCCGACGTTTGATATTGTATCATTCTATCTCGATCAAGCCATGCCATAAGAAATCATCCAAAAAGCACTTTCAAGCAACAGCTCTTTGACAAGATCGAAAGAAAGTGCAGATAGCAAGAAATCGTGAAAAGTTGAATCCGACGTTTGATATTGTATCATTCTATCTCAATCAAGCCATGCCATAAGAAATCATCCAAAAAGCACTTTCAAGCAACAGCTCTTTGACAAGATCGAAAGAAAGTGCAGATAGCAAGAAATCGTGAAAAGTTGAATCCGACGTTTGATATTGTATCATTCTATCTCAATCAAGCCATGCCATAAGAAATCATCCAAAAAGCACTTTCAA